TCTCTCTCCACACCAAATGGCAGGAAATGAACACTGGTCAGGTAAAAGGGTTAGAGATAAAGCATATGGTAGTGAGGTAAGTCTAAAATGGAAAAGTATTCATGATCCATACTCAAGCAAGTTATAGGAAAACTAGCCAGAAGGCCAAATTCTGCCTGTTGTCTTACCAGTTTGGCATGGCCCTCGAATTAAGAATGTGTTTTGCCTGACTGGTGTAGCTCAGTGGTTGAGTGTAGGTCCATGAACCAGGAGGACATGGTTTGATTACCAATCAGGGCATGCCCAGGTTTCAGGCTCAATCCTCAATAGGGGGCGTGCAGGAGACAACCAATGGATGATGCTCTCTAATCATTGATGTTTCTCTCTCTCTCTCTCTCTCTCTCTCTCTCCCTCTCTCTCTCTCTCTTTCTCCCTCTCCGTTCCTCTCTCTGAAATCAATAAAGACATTTTTAAAAAAATGTGTTTTGCATGTTTTAGGTTGTAAAGAAAGATAAAGAGAATTATGTGCCAGTGACTGGCCCACAAAGCCTAAAATATATCTGGCCTCTTTGCTAAAAATGTTTGCCAACTTCTGCTCTAGATTGTAGTTAAACATGTAGCATGAAGATGACTTACTTTCCCAAGAAAAGTACATTTAAAGATTGTATTTCATTTCCCCCTCAGAATGTTGCCATTAGTGGCCTGATAAACCAGACAGTTCAGATATTTGCATCTGTTTGGTATAAATTTTGTATACTTCCCATATTGCAAAAACCCCCCACAAAGATGTGGGGATGGCTTTATATCAATGATTGGAGAATTTTACTCTGAAAGTTGAGGAACTGAACCAAATTGAATAAATAATAGAAATAAAAGACAGAATAATCTTTCTGGACACCACTTCAGAATATTTCTCTAGGAGTGTCCCAAATTGATTGTCACTTCCTTTATTCTATGGTCTTTCTTTAATGATTTCTATATTATCTAAGAAAATGCAAACTTAAAATAGAAAAGTCAATACTTTCAATAAGAAATGTTAAAGGTAAGAAATTATGAACTGGTGAAGTTAAGTTGTAGTCTACAATTGCTAATTTTTTATACTTCAACATGCCAAACTCTCAGAGGGTAACGTACTTCTTTTTCTAAAATTAAAGTCCAATTGTAAGAAGGAACACTTTTGGAAAAGGGAGGGCAGGAAATAGATTATAGTGATTGAGGAATCATTAGCTGAAAGGCATGGAGAAAATCTGATTCCCTCGGGAATACAATAATTAAATTCTTCACGTAGATGAAGTAACATTTTTCTTTTGTGTTTTCTTCTCTTTGTGCAAATATTTTAAGTGGAGATAAAGATAAACTAATGATTAAAAAAACATAATAAACTAGCCAAATAATTTGTAATAAATTTGGGAAAGAGGGAGGGACAGGCTTGAAGATAAAGCACCTCTCTCTCTCACCCTAACTATTTTTCTAAGATTCAACTATGGTGCATCCATGTAAATTACAGTTTATTTTATATAAGAGCTCTATTTAATATAAAGACTGTGGAGAGAAAAGTAAGGAAGGGACTTGAGGGCTGTTTCAGATTAAACTGTTGAGATAATCCTAATGTTTTTTTTAAAATGCTTACCCATAACGTTACTGTGGCTCCTGATAAGAAGTACCATGGAATCCGACTCTTCAGAGGCATGTGAGGCTCCATCTCCTATAATTTTGAAGAAATCACAGCAAAATTCAGAATCTACCCACAATTTTGGGATTCCAAGTAGTAGTCAAAATCACAAAGACCAGTTAAATAAGAAACCTCCCAAAACCTCCCAAAAGGGTCCAGTATAGCTCATGGGATGCTACATTTGAGCAATGGTCCCTTCCCTTTAGGTAGAATACTTCAGCACTCTTAGCTGAGATATTTTACATGTGATATGAGACATAATGAGTACACAGTATTTCCTGAGTGTTGAATTAGAGTGGTATTCAAGTAGATAGGAAATAAACATTATTTCCTGAATGTTGAATTAGAGTGGTATTCAAGTAGATAGGAAATAAACATTATTTCCTGAATGTTGAATTAGAGTGGTATTCAAGTAGATAGGAAATAAACATTATTTCCTGAATGTTGAATTAGAGTGGTATTCAAGTAGATAGGAAATAAAGTCAAAATCTGAGGGCAGTTGCTTAAGTAGACACTTTAATGATGTTAAAATTCCATTAGAGGCCCGATGCTTGACATTCATGCACTGGTGGCGGTGGGGCAGGGCGGTGGGGTGGCATCCCTCAGCCTGGCCTGCACCCTCTTGCAGTCCGGAACCCCTTGGTGCGATGTCTGACTGCTGGCTTAGGCCCGATCCCCATGGGGGGCGGGGCAAGGCCAGACATCCCTCTCACAGTTCAGGGCTCTTGCAGTCTGAGACCCCTCGCTCCTTATCGCCTGCCTGCAGTGGGGGGCAGGAAAGGCTCCAGTCACCGCCCCTGTGCTAAGGAGCGGCCCTCCCCCTGTGAGAGCACTCTGACCACCATGGGGCAGCTCCTGTATTGAGCGTCTTCCCCCTGGTGGTCGCATCATATCAACCAGTCATTAGGCCATTCAATTGATTTGCATATTATATATAGGTTTTATTGATAGGATTCTAACTCAAATGAATTAAGTTGAATTTCATTGCTCTGTAATTGCTCTGCATGATATTAAATAGGATGCCTTCTTTATATTTATAGGATTTCACAAAGTTCAAGGGCCCAAACTTTTCCATTTTTAAGCTTGTTAAGTCATTAATGAAAGATATAAAATCAGCTAACATTCTTAGCTACATAAAGAGTTAGATTTTACCCAAAATAATACTGCTATATAGAAAAAAAAGCAGAAACCTAAATTATATAATTCTATTTAAAATAGAAGATTTTGCATTTTTGGGTATATTTTTCTGAGTGGGAATAGAAATCAACAGTAGAGTAGGCTCTCTGAGAGTACTACTGTACCTCAGGATGTGTGCATGTATGTGGATGTCAATATATGAATGAGTGTTCCCAATATGGACTCAAATGTGAGAATTCTGGTTGTACTTAACCACTAATAAAGCACAGCAAGTAAGTGAAAAATAATTCTGATTACAGCTAAGTGGATAATTATAGCTAAGTAATAAACCATTTCATGGAAACAATTACATCTAAGTGGATAATTCACAGTGAACCAATACATACTGGTTTTTTTTTTTAATTGGTTTGAAAGGTAATCATTCAGTACATGTGGCTTTCATGTCAAAAATTTTTTTAATAAGCCTGCCTTAATTTTCTATTTTATCCCATGAAATATGAATAGATATATGCTGGGGATGACCAGCAGCCTGTGAATGATGGTTGAACAGATTACTCTGACACAGTTTCACTGTGAAAGAGAGGGCTAAGGGATGGCCTGGCCAAAGGGACCAGGCAGCCTAGATTGCCTGCCTTGTTAGCCTTTTATTGTAACAGCAGTTTGAGATAAATTTGTCTTTAAAATACAATCAGTAGGGTGAGTACTCTTGAGAGGACACATGTATTTACATTGTCCTCTACGCAAGGGCATCCAGGGATTAAGCATAAGGATTCCAGTAAACACCCGGGGGTCTGCTCCTGCACAGAATTGTTTGGAAAGATTAAGGAATAATTAGGAGCACTGCCTTGGCCACTCCCCTAAGTCAGAATTCAGATAAACAGGGCAGGCGGCCTTCCACACACTTCCCTTTTCTCAGATTGTCCTCCTTACAATTTTCCAACCAAGTCTTCTGTGCTCCCCAACAGATATACATAATATTGGAGAGGAAACTGGTCTTGCAAAGAGTGTCAGGCCATAAAAACTGTGAACAATGCACTGCCCTGGGGCGGGTGGGGGAAGTTTGTTATCACTGGCCCCAGGACAGGTCATTGGATATGGCCTGGGGACCCCCAACACCTGGGGCCTTCCTGTAAGCCCATGAAAGGGGGCAAAACCATATCTGCAAGACAAAGACCCCAGAAGGTTATAAAAAGCGAAGCCTCTGCATGTTTCTTCACTCTGGTTTGGAAATTATTCCTGGAGTCCACTAGTATTAATAAATGGGGTCCCTCCCTTTCTCTAGGAAGCACGCTTGGTATTTCTTTGGTCTTCTGCTACAATATCATTAGTATGACAATATCATTTGTGATATAATTTTATAATTTCAAACTGTTAATTTCACCCAAGTTGTTAATGTATTTCCTCAGGTGTTCTTCCCCCTTTATTCATTTATTGAATTTTGTAATGTTTCAATGCAATTTAATAAATTTTAAATGAATGCCTAAATTATGTAAAGAATTTTAGCTACATAAAGAGTTAGATTTTACCCAAAATAATACTGCTATATAGAAAAAAAAGCAGAAACCTAAATTATGCTGCAAGAATAGTGTGCTGAACAAAGTAAGGAATGCTACTAAAAAGACTGTTAGAAACATATCATTTTCTGCCTTTAAAAGCATCTGGTAACAAAGTGGTTACAGATTATGGAAACGTAGGGACTCTAAGAATATGCAGCCAAGAGTCTAGTGTTTGATGGCAAAGTACCTTCTATTTTCACATGAAAAAAGGTGCCAAGAAGTCAAATTACTCAGTCAACCACATAGCTGGTTTGCCAGTCAAGGATCCCAAAATACAGACTTTCACACCAAATAGCAGTGCAATGATTTTCCCATTATAATCAATTAAGAGAGACTAGTTGAATAAAACAATCACTCATAAGCCCACTATCTTAATGAAATACTATTTTTTCCATATTATCTTTAGTTCTATGTATACATATTTATACACATATTTAAAGCCCAGAGCATACACAGTTTTCCATTTTTTTAAAATTGTACCTGGTATTAAAATAATGTCTATCATGATATGATTCCTTGGATTTACTTCAAAATAATCCAATGGCCATAAGGAGTAGGTGTATAAATAAAACAAGATTGTCCATGAATTAATATTAATTGAAGCTGTGTGATGGGTTCATCCTGGAGTTCATTTTACTTGTCTATCTACTTTTCTATGTGTTTGAAATATAAGAATAAATAGTTTATATGATTTATATGTTGGAGAACACTTAAAAGCAAATTAAAATAGACACCATTATTTGAGAGACAACCTACAGCAATGTGCCCATTGAGATAGGATGCTCATTTCAGTTTCCTAATCTACCTGAGTCACAGGATTAATTTTCCTCTTTTTACACATGGCTTCAAATTCTGGCCTCAGCTGAAGCTGCTGCTGCTCCTCCTCGAAGTCCACCAGGTCCCAATCACACTCCAGTCTGGCTTGACGCTGTTTCCAAAACTCCAAAAACAATGTGACTACAGGAAAACAAAGTATAAAAACAAATACAATTAAGAGATGGGGAAATACAGTGAATAAGAAAGTAACTGAGTTTTCCTTTATTTTTATTTATTATATTTTTAATAGAATTTATTAACATTGGTTAATAAAACTACATAGATTTCAGCTATATAATTACATGATACATCATCTATAAATATATGTGTGTTCACCACCCTAAGTTAGGTACATAGTTTTCCTCTATTTTTTGGTATGTTTTTATTAATTTTACAGAGAGAAAGGAAGGGAGAAAAAGGGAGAGACAGACAAAATGACAGAAAGACAAACATAAATGTGAGAGAGAAATATTGATCAGTTGCCTCCGAACTCATCCGGGGATCAAATTGAAAACTAGGTATGTGCCCTAACTGGGAATCGAATCCACAACCTTTTGATGTACAGGGTGATGCTCCAACTAATTGAGCCACTTGGTCAGGGTCTCTATTTTTTTAATATCAATTTGGTTGCATGATAGCAATTCTGTCACTATTATTTGATGATAGATTTATAAAATTCTTAATATTAACATAATTATGTAATGACATTGAAATGACTCATAAATAAAATTTTGAGTTAATTCCTAGACAACAGTCCATGCAAGAAAAAAATTCAAGTTAATTACTCTCTCTCTCTTCATTAAGATAAATTGAAGGAATAAACTTAACTTTTTATTAACAGCTAGATTTTGTTTGCAAAATCAGTCTTTTACTGAAATTATTTAGTCTTTTAGTGAAATCATTCAAGCATTATACCTTAGTGAAATTTAAGAAAAATGTAAAAGCCATTTTATAATACATTCTCTCCCCTCTCTCTAAAATATCTATTTCATGTTCATTGCAGCATTATTTTCAATGGTCAAGTCATGAAACAACCTAAGTGTCCATGCATGGATGAATGGATAAAGAAAATGTGGTTTATATAAAGAATGGAATAATATTTTGTCATTAAGAAAGAAAATCCTGCCATTCTGCAACAACATGAATAGGCCTTGAGGATATTATGCTAAGTAAGATAAGTCATACGGAGAAAGAGAAATACTGTATGGTCTCACATGTGGAATTAAAAAAAAAGGCAAACTCATAGAAACAGTACAGTTTGGTGGTTGGTGATGGTGGGGGAAATGGGGGAAAATGGTCAAAAGATATAAATATCCACTTATAAATTTAGCAATTTTGGGGGATATAGAGTTAAAACTATATAGCATGGTTACTATAGTTAAAAATAATGTGTTATATATTTGAAAGTTACTAAGAGTTGATTTTAAATGTTCTCATCACAAAAATATTTGTAACTATGTGAAGTGATGTTAACTAAACTTACTGTATTAATCATTTCATATATATATATAAACTCACTATATTGTAAACTTTAAACTAATAAAATATTATATGTCAATTATATCTCAATAAAAGTAGGAGGAAAAGTGAAAGAGACCTAAATACCCAACAATAAACAACGAGTTAAATAAAGTGTAATAAGTTCATAAAAGTATAATAAGTTCATCTATTCAGGCATAAATACACAAACACACACACACACAACAAATGTACATATTCATTCTACAAAAGGAGCCCCATAATTCATGTTTGTTCTATAAAAAATAGGCTTAACATTATATATACTAGAGGTCCGGTGCACAAAAATTTGTGCACTCAGTGGGGAGGGGTCCCTCAGTCCGGCCTGTGTCCTCTTGCAGTCTGGGACCCCTTGGGGGATGACCAACTGCTGGCTTAGGCCTTCTCCCTGGGGGATTGGGCCTAAGCTGGCAATCAGACATCTCTCTGGCAGCCCGGCAGCCCTTGGGGGATGTCCACTTGCCAGCAGGGACCAGGCCTAAGCTGTAGTCGGATGTCCTTAGTCCTGCTGAGGAGGCAGGAGCGGCTCCCACCCCGGCCAAGCTGGCGATGGAAGCTCCCAGCCTCTCCTTTTTTTCTTTCTTTTTTTTAATTCTGGATTTACCTTCTATAATTGAAACTTTGTTGCCGCTCCAGCTCCGAGACCAGGGCCTGCTGAAAGCAGGTATTTGGGGTTTGTTTAGCTTCTATAATTGCAACTTTGTTGCTTAGAGTGGAGCTCAGAGCCGGGCTGCGGCAGGCGGGGAACCTTGGCTTCCTCCATCACTGGAGCAAGCAAGCCTCCTGCTTGCTTCAGCTGCGTGGCTGCCAGCCGCCATCTTGGTTGGGTTAATTTGCATATCTTGCTGATTAGCCAATGGGAAGGGTAGCGGAGGCATGGTCAATTACCATGTTTATCTATTATTAGATAGGATTATACCATTTATGTAAAGTTATATGAACACACACCCACACAGATAGGATAAAAGATTCTGAAAAATCATGGCCAAAATAATAATTCTATTTCTGGTGATTTTAACATAATTGTCTTTCTGTTTCAATATACTACTTGAATTTCCTAAGATGGGTATTTATTTTCATTATAAACATGCCGTTTTTTTTAAAAAAAGCATTCCTACCCTTCAGTACAGAGCTTAGTATGCATTACTTTCAGGTTTCAATCCCTAAAACGAGTGTTGTTTTCTCACATCTACTCTGCCAACTCATCCTTTGATTCAGCTTAATTGTTAACTAGTATTTGTACTAAAACAAACATCCTGAAAGTTCTGTTTTCATGAAATTTGGGTAAGATCCTCAAAAACAAAAGCTAAATCAATTCACTGCTACAATAAATTTTTCTGAAAGAACTACCTGAAGATAGCACCTCCTCAAAATCCAGTGTTGCTGGGAGCTCCGCATATGGTTGCTCTTCTATTTGTGATGAAATATAGAGCTGGTGGAGGTACACAATCCCTCTTCATGGAAACAACTGAAAATTACTAAATATGTTTAAATTTGTGCACCTATCCTTCACTTCTGATTCCAATTAACAACAGAGGCAGGATTTGGCAGCCACATAATGGAGTATATCTCACAACTTACCAAACTTGGGGTTTCTGGAGAATTATAAGATTTCTCTGTCCTCTCTGCTCGTTGAACTTGGTGGTCTCTCTAGACCACAGCAGCCAGGCGGAAGGGACAGAAACCCTTCAATCCCTCTGTTTCTCATACACATCAACACATCTTGTTGTCTTTTTGCCTGGATCAAGCTACCCTTGTCCTTTGCCCAGTTTTTAAGTGCACATATTTGTATTTGCTAAATATTTTCTTTATTATTCAGGAAAAAAAGTATATTTTTTCCAAGTCCTCTGAATTTTGGAGCATGTTTAAGAAGTCTGCAGGATTTCCTATCTGATGGTAGAAACAACTTCTTCACACTTCTACTTCCCATGTGATATCCTGGAATATTTCTAAAATTAAGGGCTATTCCACTTTAGATCTACTTCCAGATCTACTTGACAGTTTTTATCAAATAGATCTGAAAGCTGGCACTAGAATTAGCCACGGGGAACTTAGATTCAAACACCAACATATTAACCCTCTATACATTTTTAAAATTCTAATTCTAGTTTGTTTCCATGATTCAATATCCTCTAGCTATCAAACATTAGTTTATTTTCTCCTGAATTAACTACTTATTGACCCTGATTTTTATCATAGTCCTGGGAAACACTGTGAGCTGAATACATATGAAGTTTAAAAAATTATGTTGTCTCTGCCTGACCAGCGTGACTCCGTGGTTGAGCGTCAACCTATGGACCAGGAGGTTACGGTTGGATTCCCTGTCAGTGCACATGCCTGGGTTGCAGGCGCACTCCCCACTGTGAGGTGGGCAGGAGGCAGCTGATCAATGATTCTCTCTCATTATTGATGTTTCTATCTCTCTCTCACTATCCCTTCCTCTCTGAAATCAATAAAAATATATTAAAAAAATAATGTCTCTCAGAGAAAAGAGCAGGTGATTATAGAGGCTTTTTTCTTCTTTTTTGACCAAGGACCAAGGATTAAAGACCACTGTTTGGAAGCCATCAGTGTATTGACGCTAGATACAAATACCTGCATCTAAAATCATCTTTGGTATGTTATACATATGGGCCATATACCACATAACATGGAGAAAGCTATTTTTTATGTGACTGTATACTTACCCCAAATTCCCATGAATATTGCAAAGAACACTGTGGACTCATTATCAAATAAATGAGAGACCTGTAAAAACAAAAATAACATCACAAAGACAATTTAGTTTCCAATGCAAAAGGAGGGAAATTACATTTTACCAAAATACATACATACCTTTGAAGACAAACATGTAGTATTTAGTCTCCAAAAATCACACAATAGATCACAGAGTGGGCACATGATAATCTGACCTCCAATCTTAGGGTCACAGACTTCACTGCTGCAGAGGGAACAGCAAAGTTATCTTAAAAGTAATGTGTGTTTGGGTGAGAGTCCAAAGCTATTCTGATCAGAACAACTTTTCATAGAGCTTCTCGTATGGCAGAAGGGGGAGTGAAGCAGCAATTTCTTCAAGTTATGCTTTGAAGAGCAGAATTTCTAGAACTAGTCCTTAAAAACAGATTTTTCATAAAACATCTAGTGAGGGGGGCTGCTTGGGTCTTTTTCAGTAACATCCCTGATCTGCTACCATAAAGAAACATTTCAAAACAAATGCCAGGAAAAATAATAACATGTTTCAATTAGCATAAGATCAAGACATTCTCTCTACTTTGGCAACTCAGCTGCACTTACCTCATTATGCTAGAATGAATGGAAAATAAGCCATAAATAAAACAAGCTAAACCAACTACAGCTGCAAGGACCAGCATTTCTGTGTAAAATCCGAGAAAGACAAAATACATGCCAATTTTTTCTCCAAAATAATTCCTGTAAAAGAGGATAAAAATAGAATCAGAGGTTGAAAGAATTACATAGACCAGACAGCTTTTGTTTTGCATTCAGACAAACCTTTATTCTAATTTTGGCTCCACAATTTTCTGGATGTATAATTTTGGCAAAGTTACTAAACTCTCTGAACTTTAGCTTCCACGCCATAAAATGCAGGATGATGTTTATCCGAACAATTGGTGTAAGGATTAAGAGAGATAACATATCTCTCCTAAGTAGGAAGCCAACTGAAAGTTAAGTGAACATTTTGAAATAATACAGGAATTTGAAAAGTTTTTAAATTTAAAGAACGTTGCATGTTTGAAATGAAATGGAGAACATTCTGCAATGTAATTTCTAGCACTTAATTTAACAACTCAAAATGACATGCACAATCTGCACAGACTTGTGCTTTATCTCTCTTTCTGAAATTGAGGAAGTTACTCTGACTATCTATTAAGGAAGAGTGGTTGTATTTACAAAGCTCCATTTCCCCCAGGTTTGGCTCTCCGATGGATACAGTACTATAGAATTGTGAGGCAGGCAGCACACCACAGGATTAAAAGTGACTGCTCAGTAAAAGTTCCATAAAATATACAGTTGAGCTCTTGCTTACAAAGAGGTGAAGAGTGACAGCATTACTTGGCATAAATGTTAAAGTCTTACACCAAGCTTTTTGTTGTGGTTGTTTTTTTAAAACCCAGTACCCCTTAAAGAATCCTTCAAGAAACCTGAGAACATAGATCAGCTCACCAAATCCATAAATTCTTTCCAGTTTCCTAATAGCATGCTATTTATAAACCTATTACAGCACATAATATAAAATTGTAGTAATTTCAAAAAGAAGGCAGATCTGAACATAAAGGCATAACCTTAATTTCACAATGAGAAGATTAAAAATTTTTTCTCATAGTCAATATTAATTTTATTTAACTTCCCATTCTTCAGTTTTCAAAATGTCTAATCATTTCACATTAAACAGGCATCTTACTGCTTGCACCATCTTTCACTCTTTTCAGTGATATTTTTGCAATGTTGTTTTTTTTCTTTTTCTGCTCTTCAAATGACTATAGACTTAAAAATAAATTGTAATTATATCACATTCTCTTATTAATTTGCCACCCTAATTTCCTGAGGTTCCACTCACACTTAGGATGAATAAAAACTTGCTTTTTTCTCCTGTTTTCTTTTTGCTAAAAAAAGCAATTATTGTAATACTGCATACCATCAAACATTTTTAAAAAGAGAAAAAAATTGATTTTGTGGTGTTTACTATTTATCATGTCTATTTCCATTTGATGTTTTAAAAAACACAGAATCAATCATTTTTGAAGACATAACTATTACTGTAAAAATTCTTCAAGAACTCATAGAGTATTTAAACAACCTTATTTTTAAAGAATTACATTTTCCTCCCTCTCAAATAGCAGACTCTTATTCCTTGAAAATAAAAAAGTCCTCAAGAAATAAAGTTCATATAATGATTTACAGAAACATTAGTTTATATGCTCCAGCTATCTTTTATCCTTAAAAGTTTCCCCTTATTTGCTTAGAGAAAACTGTTGTGATAATAACATTTCAATTGATTTGGATGTTTGCATCAAAATCAGTCTCCTAAAAAGGATGCCAGACAAGCATTGCAGTAGAAACATTAATCACCAAAAGAATTGTTCTAATCTGATTATTCCTTTACTGAAATCATAGCAGGAGGCCCCTAATATCCTGTATGTATGTAGTATTGTAATGGTTTGAAGCAGCAGCCTGCAGCCATAGTCTTCTTAATTAACTAATAAAACTGCCTGAGAAATTGTCTGAGAGCATGGAACTCAGACAGGCTCAGACACTAAGCTTGTCAATTGCCTGAGCCCAAAAATGAAAGAAGAAAAACAAAACAACAAAAAAAGAGGTTATAGAGCAATTGTCTTCACACACACACACACACACACACACAGCTATACACAACCTTTCTGCTATCATCCAAATTCCTGGAATAAGAGGAAAACAAAACAAAAATATTATGTATTAAGCAGTAAGTGCTAGCTCCTGTGCTAAAAATGTATATCTCATTTAAGAATGAAATAACCCCAAAAGGAAAGTACTAGTCATTCCCATTTTACAAATGAGCATCATAGGTGTTAAGAACTTGAACAAGTTTAGATAGCTTCTAGGAGGGAGAACTTAGACTTGAACCCAGCCTACCTAAATACCAAGGCCCAACCTCTGAGCCACTGAGCTATCTCTGGAGGGTGGTTAATAGCATTCTGGTAACAGCACTGTGTTCACAAAGGAATGACTAAATGATAGTGTAGATACAAAATTGGGAAGGTGTAAAATATAGTGGGTAATAGTAGTAAAAAGAATGGAATATGATGCCACTGTAAATAAAAATCACATGATCAAGTTTTAATCATCAGTGTGATCTTATGTAAGAAACTTACCTAATCAAGTCAAAAGGCTGCTCCTTGTAAAAATAGGAAAACCGAGCCCAATTCTGGAAAAGTATGTACCTTTGGTTGGTAGGATTAGGAGGTTCTGATGGCTTCCAATATTGACCCTACAAATATTCAAGAAGAAAGTACATTAATGACCAAGCAAAAAATGAGGGTGAAAAGTAAACCAACACAGCTTTTATGAGGTTAGTGAAATATAAAAGTATTTTTTACCTTGTTTTTAGACTGGGATTTTCATGTAAAGTGAATGAATGTGAAATTATTTACTAAAATCTATAATCCTATGTAATAAAAGGGTAATATGCAAATTGACCAAACAGAAGAACGACTGGTCACTATGATGTGCACTGACCACCAGGGCCAGATGCTCCATGAAGGAGCTGCCCCCTGGTGGTCAGTGTGCTCCCACAGGGGGAGCACTGCTCAGCCACAAGCTGGGCTGACGGCTGGAGAGCGCAGTGGCAGTGGCGGGAGGCTCTCATGCCTCTGTGGCAATGCTAAGGATGTCCAACTGAGGCTTAGCCTCGCCCCCTCGGACATCCCCCAAGGGCTCCCAGACTGCTAAAGGGTGCAGGTCAGGCTGAGAGACCCCTACTCCCCACTCCTGAGTGCATGAATGTCATGCACCAGGTCTCTAGTAAACTCTAATAATAGTGATTTATTTATTAAATTCTCACACCCAATTATTTATTAAATTCTCACACCTTTACTCAAGCTATTCTTTTCACCAGGAGTACCCTTTCTGCTCTACTCAAATCCAACATAATATGCACAGCTCAGGATGCATATGAATTATGTACCTGGCTGGGACTTTAGAAATAAGTTAATACTTTCATTGTAGAGATTGAAAGATAAACCGCAAGAGCAGTTAAATGGGTGATCCAAAGTCATACTGCTATGATAGGAATCTCCTCTAGGGAACCTGTCTTATCTGCGCTGATATCCATTTCCCAAAGAACTTAAAATCTATACAACAGACTTTAGCACTTAAGAGCCTCAGTACTGCTTCATGCCTAAGTTCTCTCTCCACTGTTAGGTATTGTGCAGGGTTATTAACACCCATCAGCAGAACATGGCCTACCCAGCTATTCAATATGTTCTTTGTAACTGCTCGCCTAGACAAGTGAACTGCTCAAGACAGCAATAAATAAATACCCAATTAAGCACATGTGAATATCTCTATGTGATAATGTGTAACATTTTATATTATCCAGATTCCAACAGTTTTCTTCTTCTGTAGTTAATCCTACTGAATCTTGAGGACTGAAATAGAAAAAGAAGCAGCCTATTTACCTGTGTATCTGGAAAAATGATTCTCTAAAGTACGTAAAGGAAAATCCAGCATATCAACTTTCAGGGGGAAGAGAATTAAGGGGGAAGGGAAGAAATAAAAAGTAAAATTAGCCCTAACCAGTTTGGCTCAGTGGATAAAGCGTTAACCTGTGGACTGAAGGGTCCCAGGTCCAATTCCATCAAGGGCATGTACCGTGGTTGTGGGCACATCCCCAGTAGGATCTGTGCAGGAGGCAGCTGATTGATGTTTCTCTCTCATCGATGTTTCTAACTCTCTATCCCTCTCCCTTCCTCTGTGTAAAAGACATCAATAAAATATATTTTTTTTATAAAAGAGATTAACAGTAAATTAAAGCTCTCACTAACAATGCTGCAGTAATACTGGTTTTCAAATAAGCATACTGGAAGGCTAGATGTATGCATTAGCATTTTTTGGTGATTGAGGATATTTGGTCTTTTTAGTTTGGCTTTATGAACTGGGATTAGGAAGAGAATTAATGCTCTAAAAACAAACAATCCTCAAAATCTTCAAAGAACTGAATGAGCCCTTATGTAAAAAAGCTTGACAAAAAAAATGCATTGCCAATGTTCATTAACCTACTATAGATCTCTCTATTTATGCCCATGGCATTTTTTAGAATTCATAATCTTCTAGAATTTATTTTGCCCCAGGGAAAAAATATGGGAGAAGAGAAGGGGCAAGGCTTAGAAGGGTGGGGAGGATGGTTTCGCCTGATTGATACTCCTGTTGAAAAGAGTATTCATTCAGGGAAAATTCTCCTGCATCCTTATAGGAATCATATCACAGATAATCAACTAACCAGTATTGAACTGACGAGTGTCAATTAGCATGTTGCTGAATGAATACTGACAGATGACAGTTGGCACAACAGTGTAAGTCCCAGAATAGAGATTGCTTGGCTTTGGGTTTTTCAAAACTACAACAACAACACTGCCTTCAAAAACATGAGCAATGACTTAGATGCCACCTGTTTAAATGGAAACACTTGGTTCTTCTATATTCCTAAGGAATGTGTTTCTCCAACAGAGAGCATGTCATTAAAAAGTCTTCTATAAGTATGGAAGAATAAAACAGGAATAAAATAAAGTTCCAAGAGATGATGTCAAAACAGTTTATATATGTTTAGTCATATGATTTCTACTTCCAACGGGTGGTGATATTTAGACATGGAATATCTAACAGGAAAGTTTTCCCTCAGAAGCTCCAAGAAACTAGGCTGTCAAGATTTCAGGCTTGGTTGAATAGGGCATCATAAAAAATGTCACTTCCTTGTTGATCTTATAAAGCTCAATAATTTTGTACAATGATCTGACGGCCTCAAAGAATCATTCTTGTGAATTTCAGTTATTTGTCTGAATCTTTCTTATGGACTGACTAGAGGCCCGGTGCACAAAAATTTGTGCACTTGGAGGGCTCCCTCAGCCCGGCCTGTGCCCTCTCTCAGTCTGGGACGCCTCAGGGGATAACCACTGGCTGGCTTAGGTCTGCTCCCCGGGGGATTGGGCCTAAGCTGGCAGTCAGACATCCATCTGGCAGCCTGGGAGCCCTCAGAGGATGTCCACTTGCCAGTGGGGTGCAGGACTAGCTGCAGTCGGACATCCTTAGCTCTGCTGAAGAGGTGGGAGAGGCTCCCACCACCACCGCTGTACTGGCAGCCATCAGCCCGGCTTGTGGCTGAGCAGAGCTTCCCCTGTGGGAACACACTGACCACCAGGGGGCAGCTCCTGCATTGTGTGTCTGCCCACTGGTGGTCAGTGTGTGTCATACTGACCAGTCATTCTACTGCTAGCGTGGCTGTTTGCAGGATGGTCAAGCCCTCCTATCCCCACTGGGGACCCTCACCCCATGGATTGGAGGTTTGGCCAACCTGGATGAGGGGCTGATGGCTGTTTTCAGGCTGGTCACATCCCCTTTAGGGTTGGAAGTCCCCACTTGGGTGCCTGGCCAGTCTGGGTGAGGGTCTGAGGGCCGTTTTCAGGCTGGTCAAGTCCCCCCAGCAGCAGAAGCTCCCAGCTTCTCCTTTTTTTCTTTTTTTATTCTGGGATTTATTTACCTTCTATAATTGAAACTTTGTAGCCTTGAGAGGAGCTTAGAGTCAGCCAGGGTGGGCAGGAGGGAAGCTTGGCTTCCTCCATCACCAGGGGCAACCCCACGCCTCCTGTTTGCTCCAGCTCCGTGGCCACAGCTGGCTCGAAGCAGGTATCTGGGGTTTATTTACTTTGCATATAGTCGCTCTGATTGGCTGGTGGGCATGGCTTAGGGGGTAGCGAAGGTATGGGCAATTAGCATCTTCGTCTTTTATTGGTATAGATTTTTTATTTATTTCTGGGAGGAAGGGAGG